GTTTGTGTGTGTGTGTGTGTGTGTGTGTGTGTGCTGCTCCTGCAGGAGTATAATGAGTGTTCAAGTGTGATCCAGCAGTAAATCTGAGCTGTTTACCACACGAGCAGAGTAAATGACTGCATGTAAATCTGCTGGAGGAGCTGCGGATGAAGAGCAGAGAGAGACGCTAAGAGGACAGAAAACCAATACTGGCAGATGGAGAGAGAGAGACGGAGAGAGAGAGAGAGAGAGAGAGAGAGAGAGGTGTCTCTTACCATCTATCACAGCTTGTGCTCAGTCAACGACAAGCCATTCATCAGAAAGACCTGCAGATGAGAGGGGGGGGGGGGGGCTTCTTTACCCAGAGCAAAGCAGATGATGGAGCTGTGTTCTGTCCGGGTCAGAATATGGTCAGATCCGTGTGTAATGAACAAACATCACATGCTCCTCTGGTGGTCATGCTGGTTCCCTGATAGACAGCACCGAGAGCAAACAACACACACACATTCATTCATTCATTCATTTTCTGTCTGGCTTAGTCCCTTCATTAATCTGGGGTCGCCACAGTGGCATGAACCGCCAACTTATCCAGCATATGCTTTTTATGCAGCCCTTCCAGCCGCAAACCATCACTGTGAAACATCCACACACCTATTCACACTCGTACACTACGGGCAGTGTAGTTGATCAGTTCCCCTATAGCGCATGTGTTTGGACTGTGGGGGAAACCAGAGCACCCGGAGGAAACCCACACCAACAAGCGCTGTTTGAAGATCTCTGTAAGATGATGAATTTCCTGATCTTATTAATCTGAGCTGGCCATGAGCTGCTGTCCTGGAACAGATATGAATAATAATGACTATATCCACATCCTCTCCAGCAGATGGCGCCCTGATTGCTGCCTTAAACTCGTGCATTTACACTGGCTCGTCAGCCGGAAACAGGCTTATTAAAGAGGATGTGTGTGGTGTGTTAGTGCCATAGAAGAATAAACCGACAGCACTAATAACTAAACTCTCAGACCAACTCTCATACTGCTGTAGTGTCGAGTATTCTCCTCAGCCCAGCAGCGCTCTACACTGGAGAGAAGATTACACTGAACTGATGAGCAGAGGCTGACCCCTGCTGGCCCACAGACGAACTGCAGACTGTCCTCAAACAGGTCCTGGAAACCATGTTTTCTACACATTATTCCTGCGCTCTTCATGGCAGTATTCTCTCTGTGAATGAGTCTGTGTTTGTGTGTGT